AAAAAAGTCCACTAACCTGCTTTTTAATAGCGGCATTTAATGACATGATTTTGTCGATATACTTATTCGTCGATAATTGTACTGTCCCATTGGTCTCCTGTTGTCCAGCGTATTTCTCGCGTAACATTTCTATGTTTTGATCTTCAATCTTAGTAAACAATGGAGTGGGTTTGCCAATTTTGTGCCAAGTAGGTAACATACTTGTTATCGTTTCAGGGATATAGCCATAACTTTTATTACTCAAACCTAGTTGAGATCTCAATTGTTTGGCTGTAGCAGGCATGAACGGAGCCAAAAGAGCGGACAGAAGGCAAGCTAAATTACAGCAAATTGCAACAATAGTTCCGGCTCTTTTCCTATAAATTTTTTTTAAATAAAAATATTAATCAAAAAGACAAGCCGATGAGAAAAGAATTAAAATGAATAAGCTGATTATACTTGTCATCTTCATTTCCTTTGATTTTCACCCATGGCTGCTGGGATTGCATATATTGATTGCCATGTTTTGAAATCGCCAATATGTGTTTCAAGCCATCTCTTAGCTTAGCTTGTTCCATAGCATTTAAGTAAGACGTCAGTTCGCGTTGTGCCAACGCCAATACAGTCCAGTCAGCCTCTTCCGGCTGTTCTATCGGTGGTATGTTAGAGTTGAAAAATTTCTCAGAGAATACTAAAGCTCTATCCGTAATAAATTTTAGGAACTGTTAATAACAGGTTATCGCAAAATGTTAATTATTGACAATTTAGAACAAAAGACGTAATGATTACAAACCTGTTGACAAAATTGCCAAGATTATTTAACAGTTCGCTATTGTTTTTCGTGGCTAAATCTACCCAATTAAAATTGGAATCTTGAGTTTCAGGCCTAATGTAGGCTAAATAAAATCGCCATACGTCTGCTGGAATGCCCGTGTCTCTAGCATCCGTTCCAAATACTCCAATACCTCTAGATTTGGAAAATTTCTTATCCTCATAATTTAAATATTCTAAAACGAAATAATCTTAGTCGAAAAAATTATCAAAAAATTCTAATAGAGAAAATAAGAAGAGCGATATCTTAGATTCAAAGAAAAAGAAAACAGATATTAAAAATATCGAAATATAATTACAAAGTAAACTTGTCTGACACATTTTTATTTTTTGATATCGTACCAGTTGCCATTAAATGCTTCATTAACGTGTAATTTTCATTAACAGCTAGCAAGCAAGCGGGAAACATTATCACGTGAAACGGAACGTTATCCTTTGCCATAAACTGCCATAAATCGATTTTTGTATCCTGAGAAGGTTGCCACCATTTTTTATATTCTTTGGTATACCTCTTTGTAATACTGATATATCCGAAAGGGGCATCAAACCAGACGTAAAACACCTTATTTTCAAAACCCTCTACTGGGACCGGTATGCCCCATTTCAAATCTCTGGTTATGCAACGAGGTTTAAGACCGTCGCGCAGCCATGCTTTTGAAACCACTCTAGCAACGTTAGACCACCCTTTTTCTACGACAGCGGAATATTCTTTCACCTTTTCTTCCAGCTGCAACACGGAAGAACTACGCGTGTAATATGTGTAATATCCTACATATTAGCAATAACAGAACATCGCAATATAAATCTTACCTTGGGTAAATCCAAGAAAAATTGTGTCGAGTTTTTTACGATAGGTTTAGTATTACATATCTTACATCGAGGATTTATTAATTCAACCGCGTTCACGAGATGACCGCAACCATCACATTGATCGCCGCGCGCATCCTCGTACTTGCATCCAGGACATGTGCCTTCTACGAATCTATCGGCAAGAAATCGATCACAAGATTCGCAATGGAGTTGTTCTACAGTTTCGGTCAGCACGTAACCTTGCGATTTAATTTTTAGGAAAAACGATTGGACGATTCTGAAAAAAATAATAATGAAGATAAACGTGATTGTGAAGAAGAAAAAGATAGAAAGCAAGACAAGTTCTGCAATCTTACTCGGTCTGTTCGGGTGTAGTAGTACGACCGAAGTAATCAAATCCGATGCCGAACCAGCGGTAGACATCATTATGTATATCGAAAAATTTATCGCAAATTGCTTGAGGAGTCGTTTTCTCCTGCAGGGCTTTTGCTTCGGTGGCAGTACCATACTCATCAGTTCCGCTAAAAATAAAATTATTTATATTAAAATAATGCTTTTTTTTATATATGTTGCAAAATAAAAAAGATAATTACCAAATATAAAGAGTATTATAATTTCGTTGTCTACAATACCTGCACAAATAAAAATATTGATATTAAGTTAAGTTGCAAATTATATATGCTATATTGATACTATACATACACATCCCTACAAACCTTGCAAAAATATCGGCTGAAAGAACACAACCGATAATATTTCCCAAATGCGGAACATTATTAACGTAAGGAAGAGCCGATGTTATCAAAACATTTCGTTCATCTTTTTTAGGTAATCTAAGAGAAAGAACATATAATTAATTTAATTACTCTCTGTATTACTCTCTATAAATTTTCTAAACTTATTAGATTCACTTAACTTACATAGGATATGAACTTTCCTTGACTTCTGGGTATTGACCGAACCAATTCTTTGTTACATTATGAAGTTCTTCTTGACTAATAATCTCTGTTTCTTTTTCCTTAATTGAACTAATCTGAAATAAATAATTTGGGCCTATATATAAAAGAAATTTGTTATTTGTGGAATGTTCATTAAGAAATATTTGTAAATTATTTACGTCATTAGGTATCGATTCGTGAGTTTGGGAATTTGAGATTGTATTAACAGGGAACCAAGAAGCAGCTTCAATGCTTGCGATAGTTATTTTACTCTTGTCGCAAAAAGAACTGGAAATATGTTCCTGCACATTTAAAATATTGATATTGATTACATATATATTAGATTCATGTTTATAAAATAATAATTATGATTGTAATAAGTATGATTGTAACATAGTCTTACCGAAAGAGGTGAAAAAAAGATTGATGAATATCTGTTAACCAGGTTTTGACATTTGAGAACTCATTGATGATATCTTCATCTATACTCCAAAGACTTACCCAAATAGAAATATCTGCTGGTGATAAATTACTACATTTCTAAAAAAAAAAGAGCAAAAATGGAATAAATTAATGAGTAATAAAAAGAATGTTTGAATAACAGAAGATATCTTGATTATTTACCTCAATTAAGTACTTTTTGTTATTCAGTTCATTATTGAGATCTTTTATTAAAAACCATAAGTCAGATTTTTGTGGCGTCTTGGAAGATTTTGCACTTACGTAGCGTAATATAGCTGGCTAAAGAAATAATACATTAAAATTTCTTCAAAATATTTTAAAAGATCCCTTATCATATCTTCAAACTCAATAATTTTATTGACTGCAGTGACACATAAATATAAAATAGAATTGATAAAGACTAATTGTGATTATAAGTTCGATGTTATCAATCAAGGTACCTGTAATTGAGAAATTTCCCATTCCAACCATCTATCATTGAAAACTTCCAATTCTTTAGGTACAGGCAACAGAAAACGCAGTGCAGCAGAAACGCTGAATAGATACAATCCTGATGGTGTAGTCAACGCTGGCAAACGATTCAGAACAACATCTATGTATAACATATATTATTATTATATGTAAAAGAATTATGATCATATATCTTTAACTAAGCTTCTCAAAACTCAAACAGATCAACTCCGTGAAATAAAGCTGATGAAATTATAGAAATAATAAAAAAATCTAAGAAATTTACAAGTAGTGGAATTGATTGATTTGGATTCGGAAAAGCCCGATCAAAGATAACGTTCATAAGGTGAGATTGTGTATAATTTCAGTCTCATGAAAATTTTCTTTGTGTTAGGAAAAGCTTATGTGAGTCAATTCGCAAGATAGAGGCAGATAGGAGGTTAATGAACGCACCGCCAGGCTTCACGATCTTGACAGTGAAATCTTTCTGAGCCAAATGAAGTGCAAAAATCAGCTTCAGCGCGTTCGGGTTGCCCTCGTTCGTGGTAACGATCATCATCATCGAATAAATTAATAAATACGACAATAAATAGAAAAATATGCTAACGCACAACCGCAAGAGACATGTGAGCGATAGAAAATAACGGGCAGCGAGACGGGCGAGACCTCGTGTCTCGTTCTGAAGCTCGATTTCCACGCACGAGGATTGCGTCAGATTCCGGCTATCTCTTATTGGACATTTATTTGGGTAGAAATCGTGCTAGAAAAATGTCGCGATCACCGAATAGATTCATTGAAGCCAAGGAAGAGAAGTTAAACACGAGGAAAGAATATCGGCAGTATTCGATAAGGTAATATCTTCGATCGATGTTTAATAATTTTTATTTTTGAATTTATATATAATTTCAGATATTTAATAATTTATAATAATTATATATAATAATTTCAGATAATTTTGCTTATATCATCCATTACTTGCAGTACAATGTTAACTTTGATAAAGAATATATTTTTTTATTATTAAATAATTTTATTAGTTTACATAGATTATTAATGAATTAGGAATGTTTATCTCGTACATATTTAATTTAATATAGATTGATTATATCTAAAAATATAGGGACCAAGATGAATTAGAACACTTAAACAGTATTACAAATTAATGTATTCTTTTAATATTAATGTACAGATCTGGATGGTAATAGGTAACTTGGATTTATACAAATTTAATCTTAATTTTACTTAATTTTTACGATTAGATTTATTTTTATCTAATATTAGGTTTTAAAATAAAGTAACTTATGAATTAACAATTCAGACTCCATTTTTGTAATTCAATTGACATGCAAAAATCCATTTTTCTATAATTACATATATTCAACATTTAAAATTAAATAGTAAACAGATCTTAATACTTTTGTATTATATATCTGTCTCTAATCTTGCAACTGCCTTGTTAAATCATTATGAAAGATAATAAAGATACAAGGAAATTGTTGCCTTCTTTGTATTTAATAAAATAAATAAGTTGTTATTTTGCAACTATTGAGAATGTAAAGATTTTGGCCTTGTCTGGTATAAATCGCATTATGTATTTCTAGACTTGAGAATAGTCATCATCTCCTCTAGCAAATGATTTTTCGTCTCTCTTTGTTCCTCCGCTCGTGCTAGCGCTTCTTTTTGTATATCTCGCATTTCAATACATACTTGCAAAACTTCATTTTGCACACAACTAGAATTTTTACTACTGCTTTCCATCTTGTTAATTAAATTCCTTAACAAACGCTGACAGCTTTGCAGATTCTCGATTATTTTTACATTTTGAGCCTCCAGTCTTGCATTTTGTTGAGTAGTTTTGCAATTTTGTGCTGCCTCCATGCTGCATATAAGATTATGAATGATTATCTTTAACATATAGATCTTTAAGAAATTGATGAATAATTTAAAATATTAACAAATTACTACTTACGCTGCCTTTGTCTCTCCTTCTCCATTTGTTTCCGTCTCAAATAGATCATTGGAAAAAATTTCATCCAGATCTCTATAAGTGTTTTTTTATGGAATTAATAATTAAGATGATTTATGATAGCAGACTCTGAAAGTAGACTTACTGTTCATAAGTACAGATATATTTCCCTCTTCCATTTCTCCTGTTATATATCATCATGTTCTTATAAGCACGCTTGAGTGTTTTATATCTGTTTTCCACTTGTAAAGGGGATACATGAAAACCATTGTCTATCAATTTGTTGGCTATTTCTTGATATGCTTTCTTCATATTTTTCAGTTGGCGATTCTTCACCAATTCTTTCTTTGCTTTATACTCTTTTAAAAAGATTTTTGTTGAGGCGTCACACCATGGGAAAACTGAGTTCCCACCTTTACTCGTCGTTGGTGTATTAAACTTCTCTTCATTTAATTTATTCTCATTCAACTTATCTACTTTTTTATCGCTTTCCGAATCATTTTCAGCAAACTCCCATGGGATGACATCAATAAATATATCTTTGCCATTGACATTAAAGCACATCTGTTCCTGTTTATCATCGATCTCCGATATATGAAGTTGGAATGCTATGTTCTCCTCTGTATATGCAATACATATTTAGATTAATGTTTGTCAATACACTTTTATACTGACCTTACTTATTTCTAGCAGATATTATATAGCAAGAGGAATAATAAATACTGTGTAGTATTGAGTGATATCATATGAGTATCATAAAACTTGTTAAATACATTACCTTCGCATGTGATCGTAACAAACCCATTGCTGTCTATGATCACCTTGCCGTCATCGTCGCGATTAAACCAGGCTTTCATCTTTGTTGTGGGAAAAGCTTCGAGGTGTCCGATTGCGTATAACCGTAAGTTTGGCCAACCCAACGTACTCGATGGCCGATTGGTTTTCTCACTTCAATTTTAGCAAAATTGCGATGCTTTTTCGCGCTATGAGCCGCAATATCTTATTTTCGCGCTTTATTTCGTTGCACCTTTTGCACCTCTGATATTTCGGCTGCAGAAAGTGTAAGAAGGTGCAGCGGTGCAAGTATATGTACGGTACAATTGCAAGAACTTACGCTGCGTCGACGAGAACGTACGTACGTGTACCTCACCAGCAAGGAAACGGATACGGAAATGGTAAGGATCCAGCGGAGTGAGGAGAGAGAAATACTTTCGATCCCTTTTATCTCATTTCACTGACGCCGAAGGAATGACGGCGCTGTCGAACGATATTGCCAACTTACGAGTTTCAGCCGATAAAGTAGGTCTTTTATATCCTCGATTCCCTTTCTACTTTGAACTTTACAAAAACCGATATTCATAATCAATTCTTACGCGAGGTCTGCAATATGAGTTTATAGTAGCAAGGACAATCATAACGTTCTTCGGTCGTATTCGTAGTCGTTTAAATTGGTCAATTTCTATTCTAATGATTACGATTACAATATGTCGCTGCGACGGACCAATGAGAAGAGAGCATCGTGTACACGCAAGAACACTCTGTTTTTTTTGATTGGTATGTTACAACTTAGCGACTCACGACAAACCGTAGGATGCGATTCTCTTGGTGCTACAAATGCTTTAAAACATTTTTTGATTAGTCAATTCATAAAATTTTTATTCTGATTGGTTAATCAAATACTTCGAAATATTTGTAGCAGTATGCTGATCACAATCGTATCATGATATAATGTTTGTCTACGGTTGTGATCAGCATGCGAAATATTTGATTAACTAATCGACTGCGACTTAATTAAGCGACATTACAATTGCATAGACTCTGATTATATTAAGATCATTATCTATTAATACTTTACATTACTTTGTCTCTTTAATTAATACATCCTTTTTGCCCTCATAATCAGTCATAGTACAGTCTATATATTTTTAAGTTCATGATGACAATCTATTTGTAACAAAACTTGACACTACTGTAATTCGTTACACATATAATACGCATGTGCCTGACGTCGATTTCATTACAAAAACTGACAATTTACATAATACAATTGTACGTGCACTTATGTAAGTAACTATATTTTCATCATACATAAATGTAATATCACGGGATAACGGGATTGATTCTTTGCGTCATTCATGGAGTATCATTTTTAGGTTAGGTTAGGACATGTATACTTTCTTATATATTGTTTTATGTCCGTCACATGTATATTTTTTTATACATTCCGCTTGTTTTTGCTTTCTCGTTTCCAGTGCGAGTGTTGTATAAAATAAATAAAACGGCATGATGAGTGAAATGTTGACGAAGTCGAACTTGACATGATAAACATTTCTTCTACGCATATCTCATACGAGCCGGCATTCTCTTTTTTAATAAGAAAACTTTTCTAGAAAAACGAGAATAGAATTAAATCGAAACTTTTGTTGGTTGTGAATACTGGAGAGTGTCAAAGTGCTCTTGAGTGCTCTTTGAAAATATGAACAACGACCCGGGCATCATCTGTTTCCGTCATTGTCCAACGAAGAGTGTATTCTGCAAGCGTATTCCAGCGATTTGCCCAGTGTGCATATCACAAATACAAAATTTCGTCGTGGATCCATTTCGTGTTCCATATCCGTTTGTGAATGCTGTACATACTTCCAGTAGTGTCATTATTCGGCCCTCACAGGGCAATTTCCTTGATGATTATAATGTAACGCGTGATGACCTGCATGTCGGGATAGTCAACTCTAGTGGTGACATTGTGGAGTTTGACAAGAAAGGATTGATAGTGAATGATGTTGCCAGTTGGACCAACTGTGTCGCCTTAGAGGTTGTGCCAGCTGCCTGGACCAATCGATGGGACGAAACATTGTCGCTTATATTAAAAGATGTCAAGTGGAGATCTAGTAATTATAACACCATTAGCCTGAACTGTTTCGACTTTGTTTTAGAATTTTTCAACAATCTAGGTTATACAGATTTAAGATTTGCGAATAAGGAAGACTTATGCGAACGATTGATACTTTCAAAATTACAAAATGCAATTCGATATATCTCGGTATACAGAGCCTTGAAGGCTCAGGAATGTCTGCTGTCGAATTGTCATACTTGATACATCTTATTATTTCTATATTTTTTATTTGTATTATTTGAAATTAATGCAATAAAAGTGTTCATATTTATATATCTGTTTTCTTGCTTATTATTTCCTGCTTTCTTATTAATTATTTTTTATTTTGTTGAAAAAGAATAACATTTTACAAGATAAAAAAGAATCACAAAGTTTTAGTATTGACGAATAAAAATCAAATTTAACAGAAAAATTAAATGATACACCATATGTAATAGAAATATTAATAGAAATATTATTATAGATATAGATTTAACATAGAATAAATGATAATAAATGTTTCATGAAATTATAAGAAATTTGTGCTTACCAGCATTTGACACTATTATCTTATTTGATTCACAAATAATTTATTTTTTTGAAATTTAAGAGCTTTAAATATTTTTTAGAAAATAAAATTCGAACGACTGCAATAGTGAGACAAAATGATTTTTACAAGAATGAGGTCATCTTTGTTACATCGACAAATGTATGATGGGTGTTTCAAACAGAAACGATTATTGAGAGACCTAATAAATAAAGATACAAACAAATTTGATGTGATTGTTGTTGGTGGTGGTCATGCTGGGACCGAAGCGTCTACTGCTGCTGTTAGAATGGGTGCGAAGACACTGTTGGTTACCCAGAAAAAAAGTACTATAGGTACGTATATACTTAAAGCTACTCTGTAATATTATGTTGAAATCTATTAGATCACTGCAAAATGTTATATTCTGAATACTTTAATTTTACAGAATGCTCTTGTTAAAATTAATTATTATTTAATAATCAAATATGCATTGCATTAGAATAAGGTAATATTAAAAAAAATGTTTTTATAAAATATTTGTAATTTTTAACTATTTTTACATTTAAAATAAATTTTTGGAAGTAAAATATATGGCATAATATATTTGAATATATATTTGAATATGATTACATTTGTAGGGGAAATGTCATGTAATCCGTCCTTTGGTGGAATCGGAAAGGGCCATCTGATGAGAGAAGTGGATGCTTTAGATGGAGTATGTTGTCGGATATGCGATATTTCAGGAGTACATTATAAGGTTTTGAACAAGAGGAAAGGGCCGGCGGTATGGGGTCTCAGAGCTCAAATTGACAGAACATTATATAAGAAACATCTTCAGGCAGAGCTTTTCAATATGCCTGGATTACATATTTATGAATCCTCTGTAGAAGATTTGATTTTGGAAAACGATTCTCTATCTTGCCATGGAGTAATTCTCAGTATGTTTTGAATTTTATAAAAATATGAAAATAAAATAATGAAAATAATTAAATAGTAAAGTTATTAATTTTAATTTTATATAAGATATTACATATATATATTTTATTTTATAGGAGATGGAACAGAGATATTTGGTGATGCTGTAGTTATAACTACAGGAACTTTTTTGAAAGGCCAAATAAACATCGGATTAGAGAAAAGGCCTGCAGGTAGATTGAACGATGAACCTAGTATTGGTTTAGCAAATACACTTGACAAACTTGGGTTTCGAATAGGAAGATTGAAAACTGGTATAAATAATGTTTCATACAATATATATTTTAAATTTGCATGTTTGATTTAACTATTTAATGGATATATTTTTTATTTAGCATTTTAATTTATATCTGCATTAAAATTGCTTTAATGTTAAGAATTTTAATTTTTAGGAACGCCGCCGAGATTGGAGAAAGAAAGCATCGATTTTACCAAATGTATGAAATCTTTGCCGGACAAATCTCCTATGCCATTCTCGTTTATGAACGATAACGTATGGCTACCGCCTGAGGAGCAATTATTGACGTATCTAACATACACAAATGAAGATGTAGCAAAGATCATAAAAGATAATATGCACTGTAATTTACATGTCACAGAAGAGATATCGGGTCCGCGATATTGCCCGAGTATAGAAAGTAAAATTTTGCGATTTAAAACGTCACAACATCAGATTTGGCTAGAACCGGAAGGCCTTGACTCGCCATTGATTTATCCTAGTGGATTATCGTGCACTCTACCAGAAGAGAAACAAATAGAGCTTGTTAAATGTATTCCAGGATTGGAAAACGCTCGTTTAGGTAAGTTTATCATAATATAATAGAGATTTTTTTCTATTATAATTTTATGTTACAGAATCTTTTTAATTTTTTATATTTATATTTATATTTGCACAGTGAAACCTGGTTACGGTGTCGAATACGACTATATAGATCCCAGAGAATTGACTAGTCAATTGGAGACCAAAAAGATTCCTGGACTATTCCTTGCCGGACAAATAAACGGTACCACTGGTTACGAAGAGGCAGCTGCACAAGGTATTGTTGCGGGAGTTAACGCGGCTGCTAAGGTAATTGAGATCTAGAAAGTTCTAGATTATATTAATGGAGAAAAAACAAATTTAAGATTCACATTGCAATGCAATGAATGGAGAAAAAAAATTTAAGATTCATATTACATTGCAATGAATCAAAAAGTATAAAATTTCTTTTGGATAATTTTATTTATTTATCCAATCTTTTCACTAATTGAAAATCTTATTTATTTTTAAAAAATTTATGATTTTCTCATATGTAAATTTCCGTATTTTATTATTTCACAATATTGTCTATTGAGAGGCCTTATATATACATATACGTTTCTAAATGCTGCGCGCGTTTCATATTTTAAATAAATCTATGTATAATCCAGGTATTTGAGAAACCACCGCTTTTGATAAGTCGAACTGAAGGTTACATTGGTGTCCTCATTGATGATTTAACTACAGAAGGTACCACGGAACCGTACAGAATGTTCACCAGTAGATCAGAGTTTCGGCTGAGATTGCGTCCCGATAACGCTGATCAGAGATTGACGGAGAAAGGTTATGCGATAGGCTGTGTTTCTCGCGAGAGGCTCGACAAAACGAGAAAAATGTTTAATAAAATGCAGGAAGCTATACAAATACTCAAAAATGACATACGGTCGAATTCGAAATGGCGGAAATTATTAAAAATAAAGAGCTCGAAAGCCACTGGGCCCAAATCAGCATTTGATATGCTGTCTATAACAACCGAGGAAATCACGTTTGCGCAGTTAGCGAAATTGTTGCCGAATTTAGCACATTTGGATGGAGATCTCAATCTAGCAAGAAGAATAGAGGTTTGCGAATTAATTATTAGATGTCATATTTTGAAAGAAAAATTTGTACAATTAAAAAAAAGTATTTAAAAACGAAAAAATGTTTAGAAAATTTAATCAGACGCATTTGAGTAAGAAATTTATCCATCAATATTCATAAAATGTCTTAAATGATTTCAGATAGAGACAAAATATGTTCATTTTGTTGCGGAACAACAGGATCAAGTGGACGATCTCAGGAGAAACGAGCGCATGATTATACCCGATGATATCGACTATGATAGGTGAAAATTATTTTGTAGTTCGATTATTTAATTGTTACATAGTGGAATTGATAAAAATATGTAATATTTTAAATCTTAAATTCTAACGAAGATGTGAGCGATTATTAACTGTTTATTTTTTGTTACAGTCCTGATTTAAATTTATCGAATGAAGATCGAGAGAAACTTGCAAAATATCTTCCACGCACGGTAAATCTTCCTGTTGTTAACTTTTCTACAAAAATTTTGATTTCTAATTTGTATTGCCAAGCGAATTTCTTTTTCTTTTCATTTTAATCACAAATAATATTCGTTGCTATTGAAGTATAATTATTCTACATGATTGATATTTATTATTTTTTTAATCAAATGATCTTTTTTTGGATTAATTTTTACCTTGAAATCTATATTAATAAGATTTATTTTGCAGATTGCAGCGGCAAATAAAATTTCTGGTGTGACACCTACGGCTATATTGCGGCTACTTTATTATATTAGACATTACTCCAAGGAGAATGTGCAAGAACATAGAAATATATTATAAAAGTAAAAGATAATAAATAATTTAATTCCTTTCATAAGATGCATCATTAACATTTCAATTAATATTTTATTAACATTTCATTAACAAACAGGATTTATATAGGAAATTGATCATAAATAAAGATCTCTCCATGGATGAAATATTTTAAATGATGTAAGTATTTGACATGGAATTTTTAATATATATTTAATATGATTGAGATTCTTTAAAAAGAAGAACGATTTAAAGAGAGTTAATATATTTGTTATGTTTTATTAATCAGTAATATAAAAAATTTTCGTGTCTTAAAAATTTTTTAATATTGTACTTAAGATTGATTCCGATTAATTCCATTCAAATTAATCAACGATTAATCATGAAAATTGTAATAAAATTTCTAATTATATAATTTATCGTCTTCAGTTTAATCTTTCTTCTTATGTATCAAATGGCAAAATTAATTCTATTCATATTAATAAAATAAATATTGCATATATTAATTATTGATTAAATTAATTGAAATTTGATTCAAGAAATTATAATATTTTTTTATCAATGTAAATTAATTTATTCTTGATTTGTTCTTTATCTTTATTTTTTCTTTATGCTAAAAATCGATCTGAAATCTCGGTCAAAGAAAAATTGACTTGCAATAGCTATTCGATCAATTGATCAATATGATTAATCATATTTTTTTCCTCCATTCGAGATTTTGAATCAATCTTTAGTGTCATGGACACAAAGTTTGAAGTTACAATTGGACATACCACTCACATCGACCGATGCCTAGGAATTTTCTAGTGAGCTACCTATCAAAAGATCTATTATTTAACCAATCAGCAATGTATCCGATTGGACCTCATCTAAAACTAAACGAAAAGTAAATGAATCGACCAATCACAGTTGGAAATTAATGGAGAAGAGTGGGGATTTCTCACGCAACAAGAATAATACGATTTCCGTTTCGTTTTCATTCATTTCCTTTTCTTCTACGATGTGGTTGATATGTATCGTGCCGATCCATGTCTCGCACGACAAATTGCGGGAACACGAGATGGTGAGAAATCTCAATTTTTCTTACGTTTATTCAATTTCGTTATTAATTTTCTTCATTGGTTTTATCATTTCCATTCATGATTATTCGCCACGAGGATTAATTCGCGAACTATCTTTTCGACCACGTGTCTTGAATACATCGCATCGGTTTTCACATGAATATTTTATATATATTATAATATATATATTATTTTATAAATTTATATATATATATATAAAATTAGTTTCTTAATAGTGTCCGAAAATTATGTAGAATCATTTTACTTTGCGTAAAAGAAAGGAATACAAAGGTGAAATAAACGAGAAGTATTTTAAGATACTTGATGTTTTATTTTGAAGCAAATATACTTTGAATTATTGTAATGAGCTCGAATACATTTTTTAAATGAGAGTTACTGATTTATCGATGATATATAACCCAACCCCTCAAGTTTTGATAAATATTTTATACCATAATCATAAGCTATATAATGTATTATAAACAACTTATTAAGATATCATTTTTATTTTTCAGATTATTACATCTATACTACAATTTTTAAGGGAAATTTGCATGATTTGATTTGGAATAAAATTTATTCTTTAAGATGACTAACATATATCACTCCATATTCTCAAAAATGAAGGATATTGACAAAAATCTAAGAATTAGGTAATTTAATATATAAACAATTATATAATTTTATATAACATTTAAGTAGCTTCTAATTTTTGATATATCTTTGTTAATTTGTTAATTTTGATGACATCACTATCCATATTTCTGAATAACAGTGACTATCACAATTATTTTACTGATTTGTTATAAATTTTAATCTTTCATGATTTTCCATAAGATACATTTCTGAAAAGAAATAATGAAAAGTAAATATGAAATATGTTTTATTTTTTAATAGTCTCCTAAGCATTTTTAAATGATGAAAATTATTAGTTACTGATTTATCAGTGATATATATCCCCCCCAATTTTGATAAATATTTTATATTTGTATGTTATATAATGTATTATAAGCGATGAGGTTATTAAAATACAATTTTTGTTTTTCAGATTAGACCTATGCAAGCATTTTTGAAGGAAATTTGCATAGAATATAAAAGAATCTAGAATTTAAGTTGGAAAGGAATAAAATATATTATTTCTTAAAATATCCAACATATATCACTCCAAAAGTTTTCAAAAATGAAAGATATTGACAAAGATCTAAGAATTTTTAGGTAATTTGATATAAACAATTATATAATTTTATATAACATTTTAGTAGTTTTTGTTTTAATGTATCTTTATTAATTTTGATGATGATACTATGGTCCGTGTTTCTGAATAACAATGATTATCACCACCATTTTACTGATTGTAAATTTTAATTTTTCTTGATTTTCTATAAGATATATTGTTTATTAAAAAGAAATAATGATTGTAGGAAAAATAGATAATACATAGAAAGGAACAATTGACTGTTGATTGTTAATATATTTTGCATTGTACCAAAATTTGCACTGGAGCAGTTTTGGTTACAAAGATATTAATCAACATGAAAATATCTCTTCTACTGAAAAAAGGTAAATAATTAATATTGGTTTCTTATTTTTATTACTTTTATCTTAATGTTGTTTTTAAAGAATTTTTAGGTAATTTGATATAAACAATTACATAATTTTATATAACATTTTAGTAGTTTTTGTTTTGATGTACTTTTATTAATTTTGATGATGATACTATGGTCCGTGTTTCTGAATAACAATGATTATCACCATTTTACTGATTGTTGTAAATTTTAATTTTTCGTGATTTTCTATAAGATATAAGATATATTTAAGATATATTGTTCATTAAAAAGAAATAATGATTGTAGGAAAAATAGATAATACATAGCAAGAAACAATTGATTTTGTTGATTGTTAATATACTTTGTATTATATTTAAATTCGCAAAATATAAAACTGGAGCAATCTTGATTACAAAGAAATTAATATGAGAAGTATCTCCTGCTGAAAAGTGGTATGTTATTATTTCAATTTATTTGAAATTTAACTTTTTTATGATGTTTTCGATCGATGTTTCTGAATAATAATGATTATATTTATTTTACTGATTTGTAAATTTTTACTTTATATGATTAATTACAAAATATAGTTAAATATAATAATTTATTGAAAATGAAATATAATTCTAGAAAGAAAAAGTGAGATCATGAAATCAAATTGATTGATCGTTTATTGGATATGTTCAATGAGTAAAAATAGCTGAAGTACGATGATTACATTAATTCAGCTATGAAGATCTGCTAAATTTATCTACATGAACGGCTATCTTCATGAGCAAACTTATTCCGACTAATACCATCTTCAATAGCAATGCAGTAATTGTTCGAGGACGATTATGTACTTTGTTGCTAGAGGGTTGCTCGAAAGAGATGTTTTGAAAGTTCTCTCTGGATGGAGAGTGCCAGGTGTATTCCTAGCTATATGTCTTCAATATCGCCCTCAGGTTATATGACACAGGTCCTTTGTCTCCTCTTCCTTTTGCTTTTCCCTATATAATTTTATTGATATTTTTGAAAAATTGATAAATACTAATAATCCAGTCCTGCCTCTTCAACATTAATAATCATATTCTTCACTCACTCCCAGTTGTCTCAAACAGTTATTTATTTTTTTTCCTCTTCATCATACTTATTATACTGCCTTATCACATGATTCATGCTCTCATATTTATATCCAGAGATGTGCTTTGTTGCCAGAGGGTTGCTAGAGTTATCCTTTTCCAACTGGTTATGATCATACAATTAAATGTTTAATATTTCAAAAAGATATTGAAAATATACAAAAATTATTTTATAGCAAAATGTTTTACATCCTTTTTTTCCTTTATTTTCTTTAAATTTAAGTTCATGATAATCGAAAGCGCTGTGGATACGGAGCAATTGGTCAGTAAGTTCTGTTGACTTTCCTATTTTGGAAGCTTTATATTGTTGATATCCAGGGTATTTTGTTGAATGAGGAAATAATCATAATCAATAATAAGCATCTGAAAAAAAAAGGAAACAAAAATAAAATAGTGCTAAAATAAATTATTAAGATTAAACTGTAAGATTTTATTCTTTTATTCGCTGTAGCCATATTGGTTTATGGTGGCAAAAATTGATATGTAATAAATAATTGTATACAAATTTATTAATTTTTTTAAAAATATTTAAAAATATTTGATCCTGTGATCCTGAAACTGTAAAATGTGCGGGAAACTAAACATCTATGTGATCTGTCATAGTGAAAAATGATTTTTGAAATAGAATGCGTAGATTCACTCGCGCAAGTCATGTTATTAGAAATCTCAAATGAAATTAAACATGCGCGCATGAATTTGCGCGAGTCTGTATTCCATTGTTGAATTCCCATACTAGTGTAGTCATATTTTGTGGGGACAAATTCTATTGGATGTTCAATTTTTAATGTATACATGTATTATTGAGAGATATAGATATCAAAATACATCATATAAGTATCGAGAAAAATATTTAGGAAGTTTGCATCATACCTATGACATGTTGTATATATAAATTCGAAACAGAACTAGTAAAAAGGACAATATTCAATATTTTAGATAGATAATCTTTTATATTATTTTAAAATTTTAAATAAAAAACACTGCATTTTTTGTATAATGGTTTCAGTTTTCAGTTTTCCGTTTAAAGATGAACAACAATTGGCAGCATGGATGCAATAAATAAATCACAGTGAACACCCTCAAAAAATAGTAGAATTTGTAGTCTACATTTTACTAAAAATGGTTATTTGGATCCAGGAGAATATGTAAAACATTTAAAACCTAATACTATACCATCCATATTTCATTATGTTACTATATTATTTGCAACAACAAGAATTAAAGGAAAAAAAGATATAAATAAAGTAAATGTGAACTCAATTATGGATATTGATAAACTGTGCAGGTAGACAATGTACAGATGGACATAAGCAATACAGATTGTTTATATACAGAATTATATTCAGAAAAAAGTGTGACATCTCCAGGATTATCACACATGATATTTTTAACTCAGAAATGACTTTTGTAATTTTTATCTTGTTTCAAAATAATTGGCTCTTTGAAACCTTGATAATATGTGCTATTATTGCTTGTTACTATGTATGTTCCTGTTTAATTTCATTAGGAGCGCCTACCAACATGACTTAACATGTACGCTCATATGTACGAGGGAATTTGCAATTCTCATATTCCATTGCTATGTTTTATTACTGGTTATTAGTTATGGGAGTGTTTCATTGGCTGCGTTCAACAGAGAAAGCAGATCAGTGAGCGTTCAGTGATTTCCTTATTATGATTGGTTTTTACATTTAGATTCAACGAAGATTTAAAAGAAAGAACCAATCATATTGAAAAACCACCGAACGATCTGCTTTTTCTGCTGAACGCAGCCATTACTGGATGGATAGCACTTTGTGCTACAAATGCTTCGAAGCATTTCTTGATTGGTCAATTCATAAAATTCCTTGTTCTGATTGGTTAATCAATATACTTTGAAGTATTTGTAGCAGCAAATGGATCGCACCCCATATTGTGATTCGAGGCATTCAGAATTAAATGCGTCGTTCGTCCGAGTATTTTCAGGTTTTATCGTTAAATAATTAGGAAGTATGGTCCCTCTCGGCCCATCGCCGGGCCATCAAACGTCGGTGAATAATTCATCGAGTGCGACTGCCAGCGGAACGAAAAACGCGATATTGGTAATATATAAATATATATTTGAATTTACGTATGGTAAAGATCACGTGGTGGTTAGTCTCTCATCACAAATACGCCGGTTCTCGATTAAGCGAGGTACAGACATAGGAAAACGACGGAAATTATTCTGTTGGCGCGATTGAAAGTTTCGGAATGACTGGATTTATTTTTAAATTAGGGGTGTACGTGCCGTGAAGGAGAAACTTCTGTTTCTGCATACTAAATGCATCTTATGGAAATCGCAAAACATGTCCATTAATGTCTATTTTTAACTTATTTTTTTTATCAACAAATATTGAAGATGATACATGGCTTAATATCAAGAGTAAATGGCTATTTAATAATTGATGACTAAACAGATTCAAATCAGCTTGATCAGAGTTATGTTTTTTGAGATGTATTGGCTTTCAGTTATATATGTTCACAATCGTTAAAATGGATTTATAATCAAACTTTGACCGTATTGTCTGAGCAGTTGTTATCCTCTAGTGCAGTAATATAAGCATGCTATATGTACATTCTTGGTTTCTTTTTATAGAAATCTAACTATGCATTGAAGTATACTTTAGCGGGTCACACAAAGGCAGTCTCATCTGTTAAATTCAGTCCTAATGGAGAATGGTTAGCCAGCTCAGGTAATTGAAGTAATTCTTAGAAATTAAGTTGTTAAATTAAAGATATTGAAATAATGATTTTCTTATTTTTTAGCTGCTGATAAACTTATCAAAATCTGGGGCTCCTATGATGGAAAGTTTGAGAAAACTATAGCTGGTCACAAACTTGGTATTTCTGATGTGGCATGGTCTAGCGACAGTAGGTTGCTTGTATCAGCTTCTGACGATAAGACCTTAAAAATATGGGAATTAAGTTCCGTAAGTAATCCATTATTAGGATATTTTCAGCAGTTGGTAGAAAATAGAAGTTGGTGAAGATTTTGAGATTATTAATTTTGGAATCTTACTTTGCAGGGGAAATGTCTAAAAACATTAAAAGGTCATGGTAATTATGTTTTCTGTTGTAATTTCAATCCACAATCCAATCTTATAGTTTCTGGTTCCGTAAGTATAACATTAATATAATTTCCTTTATTATTTATCATAAATAAAATGATTCTCTTAAATCAATTTCCAAAATTTTATGTTTTCAAAAAATTGTATAACATTTTTATAGCAATTTTGTAAAATTTCTAAAATTTAATAATTTATTTTTAAATAAACTAATATTTTCAATTGAGTTTAAGATCTAATATTAAATTAAAGTGTAAATTATGTAACATTATACATGTAATTATATAAAAAGAATGACAAATTCAAAATGTAAAATTTAAAATGTTTTTTTTTTAGTTTGATGAAAGTGTACGTATTTGGGATGTAAGAAGTGGAAAGTGCCTTAAAACTTTGCCGGCACATTCAGATCCCGTAAGTGCGGTACATTTCAATAGGGATGGCTCTCTAATTGTTTCAAGTAGCTATGATGGATTATGGTAAGTATTACAACATTTTAGATTGAAGCAATTCGTGGAATAGTAGTGCATATCTTTTATCTAGATATTAACTTTTATTTTATTTAAATATAATATCCAAATTATATATTATGGGATCTGCAGTCGAATTTGGGACACTGCTTCAGGACAGTGTTTGAAAACTCTGATAGATGATGACAATCCTCCAGTATCATTCGTTAAATTTTCACCGAATGGCAAATACATTTTGGCAGCAACATTGGATAATACATTAAAGCTATGGGATTATAGTAAAGGAAAATGCTTGAAAACATATAGCGGTCACAAAAACGAGAAATATTGCATCTTTGCAAACTTTTCTGTTACCGGTGGAAAGGTGCGGATTAATTGATCTTGAATATATCACAACTAGTAGAAAAACAATAGAAAAAACTCTATGCATTTCTCCATCTAAAAATTTTATTTATTTAGAATAGAACCTTTATATTACTTTAATTACAAAAGCCAAGAAGAGAAAAAGTTTTATTTATTTTATCATTTTTTTTGTCTATAGTGGATTGTATCTGGTTCTGAAGATCATATGGTGTACATTTGGAATCTACAAACGAAAGAGATTGTGCAAAAACTGCAGGGACATACAGGTAAAGCAAGGATAGATATTGTAAATAAGACTAAACTTTCGAAAATGTTTTCATAATTCTAACATTTTTGACGATCAGATTAATAATTCAATAATTGCATATATATATATATATATTATTTTAGATGTGGTACTTTGCACAACGTGTCATCCGACGGATAACATTATAGCTTCAGCCGCTCTTGAAAACGACAAAACTATCAAGTTATGGAAAAGCGATACATAAGAATTATTTGCAAATTCGTCGCTGTTTAACTAATTGCTGTACAATCTTTGTATTTTT